GATGACTCCACTTACAGAAAGTTTGAAAAGATATAAAACTAAGAAATCAGGTCATGACTCGGCTCAGCAGGGAGAGGAGCTTACATGAAGGGATGATGACCTGAGTTCAACCCACAGATTCCACAAGGTGGCAGGAGGGAACCAACTCCAGAGAGTTGTCTTCTAATCTCTATACATGCAGCTTGTCTACACACATACACACACAACACACACACACACACACACACACAGAGCAAGACAAACCAAGTATTTTATTAATTAAGAAGAGAGGTATGATGAAACTACTATGGAGAGAAAAGGAATGTGAATTCAAATGTCAGGATATTAGTTACCACAGGATGAAGGGTATAAAATTTTAGGAGTGATATGTCATTGTTTCAAAGCTCCAATATACTTTATTATATATGTTTTATTTACATATTTATTTTTATGTGTATGGATGTAGTGCCTGCACGTAGGTAGGTGCACCTGTGTTGTGCAATGCCCGCTGAAGTCAGAAGATGGCATCAGATCCCCCGGAACTGGAGTTATGGACAGTTGCTAGACGCCATATGGATGCTGGGAATTGAAACTGGGTCCTCTTCAAGAGCCATGGGTGCTCTTAACTGCTTAGCCATCTCTCCAGCCCCATCAAAACTACAATAATATTTAACTCATCCTCACTGGTAGGTATTTTACTACAACTATGAATAGTCCTGTAAATATATTTTAATATTTTATAAAAAATAAAGTTTAAAACAAGCCCAAGTACTAGCAATGTCAGAAATCTTTGTCGTGAAAGAATTTTTCTTTGGATCGTGTTGATACCAATGAGCACACTAGTTTTAGTGCTTGCTGCCTGCTTTCAATTCTAAGGAAAACCTGCCTGGTGTTCTCAATCCAAGAAATGCAGACAGAAAAAAACTAGACTGTGAAGTTGACATGAATAAACTAGATGACACTCAAACACTGTTTGTTGTTTGGGTTTAAACACATTTACCTGCAAATTTACTACAATGATTTTGTCAGAGTTATATTTGTCAATTCTATCAAACCAAACTCCAAAGTACTCTTAAAATTTTTCTAACCAAAATGAGAAGATGGCTGGGCACGGGGATAGACCCTTTAATCCTATCACTCAGGAGACAGAGACAACCAGAACTCTATGATATCAAGGCCAGCACAGTCTACATAGCAAGTTACAGGCCAGCTGGGGCTATAGGGAGACCCTATCACAAAAGACTTGGAGGGAGGGTGTAGAGGGAGGATTGATTCTTTTAAAATTCAAAATGGAAATATTAACTGCAATTACAAGAAAATAATGTCTAAAATCAGAAAATAAAGACTTCCTGACAATGAATTTCCTGAGATAGAAATCTTATCCTTGACAGGTACATCAAATTGAAAAAATGAAGATACATTCTGTAACTAATTTGGCACATGCATAGATGAGTAGGAATTATAAATGCTTAAAATCAATCATAATGGTATTAATGTCTACCTTTTTCTATTTCTACCCAAATATATCCAATTACTAAAGCATAACTATTGGCTACGTCAAAACTCACTGAAAGTTATATTTGGTAATTTGAAGTTTGCTAACGTTCAAAACTAGCTCAAAACTGTCACAAAGAATATTAAATAATCAATAAGCTTCATCAGAAGAACTTCATAGTCTTCAATTGGAATCTTCATAAAACAAGTCAAAGAACCTGATATTTAACACACTGGTTTTTTCAGGATTCCCTATCTGGGCAGTAAAAGGTTGACATGCTCATAATTAGTAGGCAGAGTTTCAGAAGTTGATGAATTGGTCTAAAAATACTACCTGTCTATAGTTTGGTCAAGGAAAGACCTAATTTGAAGGGGAGGAAGGCTATTTGTCCCTAACTTTTGATTTAAATAAATTCTAATCCTAAAACAACATTATAGTATTGGTTCTATTCATAGCATTCAAGAATTTGGAATAGGGCATGGAAACACATCAGCAACTCCAGAACTTGGAAGCCTGAGGAAGGTAGATTGCAAGTTTCAAGATAGCTAGACCTTATCTCAAACCACACCAGGCCAGGAAAAGAATGTTATATATTCAGTGATATCACACATCTGATAATGATCCAAGAAGCTTAAACAGATCTTAGTTACATACTGTATAGATACAAGAAAACATGAGAAACTGACTTTATGAAGAGAGACATCCTAACAGAAAAGACCAAAAGTTGATGCCAGGTACAATGTGAAGTTTCATATGCTAAGCAAAGGCACCCTTCTAACACACTAACAGAACAAATATTTGAAAAACTTCTCCATTTTCTTTCTACATATTAAAACGCATAATCAGAAAGAGCTGTCTGATCAGATCTTTAATTCTTTGCCCTTAAAAGGACTCTTTCAAGGAAAACATGATGGGTTACAAATAATTCATTACAGAACTCTTTGTACTCGAGAAAAATAGTTCTACAAGCATTTGGTATTGTTTTAATGATTTTCTTTAAATAAAAACTTAGAACAGAAGTTCTCAGTGTTTTGAGGTAAAATCATAACAAATTATCCTATCCGTTGTAATATGCATGAATATATACATGAAATCCTTCAATTTTCTCTCCTTTTGCTATCATCATTATCTGCTTTTGAAGAGGGGGGCATGGGGAGAGAGGAAGAAGCTGTTGAGGTAAGCACAGAATGCACTTCTGGAAAACCTCTGGGGGCTTACCTAACAGAATCAGTGACTTCCTCATGATAGACTTAGACCATCTTTATACTGAAAAAATATGCAGTGTTTGCTGTGTGTGTCCTTGTGTGCATGTGCATGTGGATGCCACAGGTTATGTCAGATTTCTTAGTCAATAATTCTCCACCTTATTTTTTAAGACAGGGTCTCTCACTGGACCTGAAACTCACCAGTTAGGTTACACTGTTTGGCCAGAAAGTCCCAGGGATCCTCCTGGCTTTATCTCCGCTGCACCAAAATTACCATGCACCATCAAGCCCAGCATTTTACATGGGCACTGAAGATCCAAACTCAGTCCCTCAGAGTTGCAGGACAAGCACTTATCCAACTACATCATCTACCCAGGCCCCAAGTAGAGCTCTTGAATATACTTTACAAGAACAAATTAAGTTGGAAATAGAAACTATCTATACTAATTAATAGGTAAATATATCTATTACATTCTCTTAATTCAATCTGTTTCTAATAAGAGCCAAACTGAGGCTAAAGAAGGATAAAATTAAAGCTTCATTGCTCCAATCAATACATCTTTATTGCATTTCCAATTTGCTAAACAACACGACTGGTAAAAGAGAGGCAAAATCACATAGGAAAGCCTCCCCTCATGCCCACTATTAGTCAAATGAACAGACTGAAAGTGAAAGGAGAGAAACTGAAATATACCAAAGACTTGCTTATTCTTACTCATTTCCATGTCTTAACAAGTAAGTCCTTTTGTTTTAACTATTTCTATAGTCAAGGAATTTCACATATTATACCCATACTTGAAAACTGTCCCAAAAACTACTTATCACAAAGAATATCACAGAAATTATTTTTCATATTAAGAAATAATTATACTATTCTAGCTTTCTGAATATATACATATATATTATATATCTATGGACATATATATTCTTACCCAAAAATATTCAGTCCTTAATAGACGAAAAAAAGCCAAAACTGATTTTACAGACTCGTTTTCTGATTTTGAGTAGGCAGATATTTACTGACAATCTCTGCTTAAATTTTTTCAAGAATACTCTACAAAACCAACCTAGCTGGGTGTGGTGACCCACACCTTTAATCCCAGAAGACAGGATCCACTGGGTGGATCTCTCTGAGAAAAGGTCAGTATGGTCTATATAGTGAATTCCAGGCTAAGTGAGGCTACAAGGAGACCCTGGGGAAGAGGGAGGGGAGGAGAGGGAAGGAAATAGGGCATGGAAACACATCCGAATACTCTACAAAACCAACCTAGCTGGGTGTGGTGACCCACACCTTTAATCCCAGAAGACAGGATCCACTGGGTGGATCTCTCTGAGAAAAGGTCAGTATGGTCTATATAGTGAATTCCAGGCTAAGTGAGGCTACAAGGAGACCCTGGGGAAGAGGGAGGGGAGGAGAGGGAAGGAAATAGGGCATGGAAACACATCCATAACTCCAGAACTTGGAAGCCTGGAGGGGAGGGAGGGAGTGGGAGGAGGGAGGCAGGGGGGGAG